AGGGTGGTCAGGGTGGCTGCAACATTATCCAGCAGAATTCGCAGGGGCTCAGGACTGAAATCAGTGAGCCTGATACAACTCAGATCGAAGTGTTTTAGCTGTCGGGTCTGCTCAGCCTGGGGCAGCTGGTTCCAGTCAGAGTGTGAGAGCTGGCAGTGAGTTAATGACAGGGTCTCCAAGGGGCACTTCAGGCACCTGGAGAAAACCAAGCAGTGAGATCTGAAATTTGTGGTGAAAATGAGTGAGTGGTGCAAAACAAGAAGGTGAACCAAGTGTCACATGTGTAAGCCCACTTTAGGGGTGACACTATCACCACTTGATTACATGTCTTAGAACTTAATCTTAACGGTTCCCCTATCCTCATGTCCAAGCAGAAAACCATTCCCTAGTGTGGGCAGCAGGAGACAGGCAGGAATGAAAAATCAGGAAACATCTGGCCACAGCTACTGGGCTTGTCCAAAAGGCTTCAGCAGAGTTTGTACCCTTGTTCCCTATCCTGCACCTCTGTCCTTTGACGTCAACTTCAGACTCCTGCTCGTCCCATCTGGTCACCAGCCCACAGTGGCACATAGCCACCTCATGGTGACTGCTAGAACTAGAGAGGTCTAGGGGTTTCTCAACACCTTGGCCTAGGCTTCTTGAGGAAGAATTCCACACCTTTCCTCACTGTATCTGACCCCACCTCCTGACATTCTAGCATGGTGGCTTTTCCATTATGATTGCTCAAGTACAGTGGCCATGTGACACCTTGTTGTAGAACTGAGGAGTGAAAAAGCAATGCATAAATATGTTGATACTCTAGTGTTTGATCTCTGTCTCACCTCCTGTGGGGGAGACACTGTCCATGTTCCCTAACCTTTCTACAACAGAGCAAGGCTCTCCTGACTGCAGAGAGAGCGGCACATCTTACCTGAGTACCTGCTCCAAGTGGCCTTCAAGGAAGTCGACAGAGTCCATAAAAATCTCTTGCAGAGAGTGAAGATTAAGAAATTGAGAGGCGATTTTGGTGAACAACTGCTCTCTCTCCTCTGGAGAAATGATGGCGGGCACAGAGATGTGAGAGAGAATTAATTTGTGAAGATTTTTCATCTGTCCCAGAAAAGGGGAAAAATGAGCCAAGGCAATGACTGTCCAGGAGTGACCCACATCCACCTCCTGCACAGAATCAAGGTTCAGCACTTCCAGGAACTCTGTGAGCCATTCAGTGCACATGCCTCTAACATGCAGCTTCTTATATTCCAGCTGCACCAGGTCTTTCCTCTCCTGGACCCACTGGAAGAGGTAGATTTGCAGTGGCTCCAGCCATCCATGATTGATCCACGGATCTACAATCACCTTGAGGGTTTGCCCTTTTGCTGCCCTCGGAACACTCCTCTCTGTTTTTCTCCTCTTCTTGGTGTCCGAGGAGCACGCTTCTGACTTGTTTTCAGCCCAGACTCTCCAGAAGTGCTGGTGCACATCCCGCATATCGAGCACTTGCAATTTCCACCTCCTGGGGGTGAACCAGTAATGAGTCTGAGAATTCAGGCCGGGACCCAGATTCATCCTGTGCCTTCCTCATCTCTGAGGTCCGCTGCTATTTTGTCTCCGCATTCTATGCTATAGTTTCCTGCTTCTGCTTTCCCCCGTGGATCCAGCCCTGTCCCTACTCCTCGGGCACTGGGAGGAGTCAGAAACTTCTTGCTCCTTTCCCTGCAGCCTCCACCATCACCTCACCTCCCCATCTGCAGTGCTCGCCCAGGTGGCCCCGCAATGCCCCAGGCTTCTCTGATCCTCTGCCA